AGAAGAAGAAGAAGAAGAAGAAGAAGAAGAAGAAGAAGAAGAAGAAGAAGAAGGAGAAATAAAAGAAGAAGAAGAACACTTATAAAGCGCTTAATATCACCCAAGGCTCTCTGTAGCGCTTTACAACCATGTACTGCACATCTGTCAGCTACTCTAGTCCCCTAGTACAGTAAATATAGGCATATCTGTTTACACCAAGCGATCATAGCGGTTGACTTGTAATTATTATTCTGCACAGAAGCTTCATACGTGGGAATGACATAACCTGAAGTAGACTATAATTTATGCGGAAAGTATGGTAAATGTATACTCTATTCAACACACCAAGGTACGATATTATACAATTCAAGTTTGTGAAGTTTCATCTGTATATAAAACCAAGTACTCAGTTTATAAACAAAAAGGTAGGCCGCACTAAAGATGGATTGAGGGAGTCAAGGGAACCATGAGAAACTATTTCTCAATTGAAAGAGCTGCAGAGTCGGCCTACCATAGAAAACTGCATCTTCCCTCGACGCTCAACGGCAATAGGTGATGAATAAGTAAAAGTAAAGTACGTACATTTGTAATGTACAGACCCAGGTGTAGAAGACCTATATACAGTATTTATGTATTCGTGAAGTCTATGAATGTTTAACAAGTTTGTGATGTATTATTGAGTTTTATACTGTCGAAACGGTCATAGCCGGTCACTGATATCCACATGTCGAGGAGAAAATGGCCGTCTTAGACAGGTGGGCGTCTTCGACAGTGTCATAATGTTTAAAAAACACAAGGGAAGAAATGGGAAGCGGCGTTTATACAGGTGATTGTCTTATACAGGTGGCCGTTTGAGCAGGTTTCCGGATATTATAAACATTAATATATTCCAGCTATTGCCCCTAGCGTAGATGATTTCTGCTCGAGAGGAAATACAATAAATATGTATTTGTGAAGTATAAAGCTGTCTATTGGCCCAAGCGAAGTAGAACTAACAAATAAGAAAAGAACACTTACCTCAAATATTTTCAGGGAAAAAGAACACAGGAAAAGCACGAACTCAAATAGCTTGAATGCTCGTCGAAGTACGAAGTATGGAGTGAGGTGAGGTGGAGAGAGAGAGAGAGAGAGAGAGGCTCAGCGAAGAGTGTGGGCCCGGGCTGGCTGGTGGGCGCGCGGACTTGCGGTGTCGAAATCTCTCAGCGTCACTTCTGGGACGGACGCTCCAGGGTGTGACGAATCAAAAGTCTTTCACTGTCAAGGGAGGGG